CATTAGTGCATTAAAATAATTGTTAATTATGCAATGCAAGTGTCTATTATTGTCTAAAAGCTCGGAATATATGATCTATGTACCGACCCCTTCGAAATCCACCGTTGAACTGGGTCATTGTCCTCTATGAAATTTCTTTTATTGAATATTGTTTATATAACTTTCTGATAGTTGCGCATGTGTATCAAGGGAATAATGTATCTAATTAATAAGATTTAAGATTATAACCTTCTCATTTTAGTATTTTTATCTATTTTTTGTAATTATTTTAATGGTCCTGCGCAGTGACGAGTTCGAGGGTAAAATTTGTCTGTAATACAAGTATAAAGTACATTAGATTATTAAAATAATTATTAATTAATCGAAGGAAACGTGTATTGTTGTTTAAAACTACGTAGTATATGATCTATGAACCGTCCTCTTCGAAATTTACCTTCTGACTGGCACTTTCTCCTCTACGAAATTTCTTTTATTAAATGTTGTTTATATGACTTTCCGAACGTTGCGCATGTGTATAAAGGGAATAAAATTCCTAATAAATAGAATTTCCTTATTTGGAAAGTCATATAAACAATATTTAATAAAAGTACTTTCATAGAGGCCAATGACCCAGTTCAACGGTGGATTTCGAAGGGGAAGATACACGGATCGTATATTCCGAGCTTTTAAACAACAATAGACACTAGTATCGATTATTTAACAATTATTTTAATGCACTATACTCTTATATTATATATATCTTATATATTTCAAATTATATTAACAATATAACAATAATATATATATATATTAAAACATAGTTCGTAAAAAATCAAGCCAGCTTATTATATTTCGAGCATGGTTTTAAATCTAATTTGTGCGTACTTCAAAAGCAAACATTAGTTTGAAGTATTGCTGAATTATTGCATCTTGTCATGGAATTACTCTATTTAACGGACTTGTATTTATCCTATTAAGTACTTTCTCGCTTTCCGTCTAACTATTTTATCCCTTTATCGTTTCTAACAAAGGATATAATCCTGGTAATAGGAAATATTGAATTCCACGTATAGTCCTATTTAAACATCTCCAGAAACACAACAGGAACGTTCCCAAAACTAATAACTAGCTTTTTGAAATGATAATTATTATAAATATACAATAGGAGTAAAACAACCTAATCTAATTTCTCCCCATCAGAAAAATATGTTTAATTATATGTTTAATATATTTTTAATTATATGGAAAATGGACTTTCTCGAATATTAATATTTTTTGTGTGCACTTCCTGTTAAAATGTTTTCTTGCAAATCCAATAATGATAATATAAAATATATGACCTACCTACTTTTTAATATATTTTCCTTTCCTAGATAGTATTCTGAATTTTTAGACGTTGCAAATTCGTATTTTTGATACTGGAAAAGTAGAGGATTTATAAATCATATATATTATATTTCATTATCTTGATTAAACTCGTTATTAAGCGTACAGATTTGAAAACATTTTGTATGTAACTGCCAGGTATGTTGAGAATATTTTCGTTTAAAATAAAATTCTGCAATATATGATGCTCACGGGGCCGAGGAATGTTACCCATCCAGCATTCCCATCCAACGTTATGTAGTAGTTTGTCAAGAAGGATTGCTGTTTTTTGTCTTCATATGAGACACAACCCTCCAACATCCCTATTAAATGTCAATGGTTGTTTGAAGAGTAAACTTCATACTGATGGAACCTCCTTTAAGGTCATATCTACTGATATCCTTCATTTATTATATCTGCCATCTAATGTTATTCGCGTTGGATAACATATTATTTGGATTTCCTCGAATGATTATCATTATCCGATTGTGAATTACGATAAATAAATTCATCAAGATAGTTGCAAAGAAATATGAAAATATTGGAAAAATTCTGTTACGATTAATTATCGAAAAAAGAAATAGTAAAAATGTAGTAATTGTTCTTGTAATTCTTTTTTTATGGGAAATTGAAAAAGCATTAAAAACAGAGCAAAAGATTTATTTTATATTTTTTGGTATAAAGAAAAAGCAAATATAGAAGAGGAAACATGATGGACCGTTGTTAACCGACTAAACAAGTAAGTAACTTTCTCATATCAATCTAACAAAAATTTGACACTGTTAATTAATTAAAATTGAAATATTACATAACGAACAAAAGAAGATAAATTAATATATGATCTTAAAGTCACGTGTAATCATATATAAATATAAAAAATTAAGATAAATCGATTTTTTCCACCTCATTTCTTTACCTTTTATTACTTTTCTCTCACGTATAAGGTAAAGAATCGTTTTAGGTGCTCGGCGAACGATAATTTTTGTCATTTGTACGAACGACCGCATTTATCTTTTCTCGACAGAGTAAATAACAAAGAAAAAAATAGGATAAAAGCAAAAAACCATTAATAAGAGTCAAAAGGGGGCAACAAGTGAAATGAACGTAACGAATATCCAGCAATACAGTTTATTATTACCGGTGATATTATTTTTCTACAAAAAAAAAAAAAAAAAAAAAAAAAAAAAAAGAAAAAAAAGAAAGAAAAAAAATATTTGACCAGAAAAAGTAATTTCTACATTTATAGTTAAAAAAAGGTTTTAAAATTTTTGAGTGATATTAAACGTTATACATGACGCGTTCTATATGTGAACATATATATACGTGAATAAAATAGGAGACAGGCTTGGATATCGATTAAACTTTGCCACAAAACTTCCGGCCACATTTTTCCTTTTTTTTTTTTTTTAAGGCGATCAAGAAGTAGGCTAACTGAACCGCGATTTATCGGGTGGAAAAACCAGACAAAACTCTGTACACGCTTGTTCGTTCGCTCGGAAAGTTACTTCAAAACGGATTATTCCCTATATAATAGTGTATAAAGTGAATTTTTAACAATAAGTCAACGAAAAGAATAATAGCTTTCGATTATATTATACAATAACTTCAAATTCATTAATCAGTTATTCGTAAAAACCTTCGTTGAATTATTTCTTCCTCGATTTTTCTTTTTTTCCTCATTTAAACTTATACCTCTACTATATCTACATTTAACTTAACTAAAACATTTACCTTCATTATTCCCATTAGTAACCGAAATTTCTATGTGTCCCCGTATGTGTGTTTACAGTATTCATTTATAATCTATCAAATGAAGATATTAAGTCAAGTTAGGTTAGTATCGGTGGGGTTAAAAATACCATCGAGTATTATTAGGTTTTACTGTTTGCACAGTGTATGATCTTAATGGACGGAGCCCTTTACAAATATGTGCTGGAGTTTACTAAAAAAATCAATTTTGACAAGAAGCCCTTGTTTTTTGTTTACCTAGTATAGCGTATTATATTCTATATGTATTGTATATAAATATTAAATGATTTTTATTGTTTTTGAACACCCTATATTACATTACAGACTAGAAAAAGATAGCACAACACGTAGCAACGTGGATTCACGTAACACCATATTCCCCTCTCTCCCACCTCCCCCACATAGGAAGGCTTTTAATTAAAGAACGAATTCGATTGGAATCGTCTAGCGAAGCATGACAACGATCTGTACTTTCTATGCCTTCTCTACGTTCCCTTCTATCTTTCCAACCAAACACCCCCACCCCCCTCCCCCCACAAACTATACATACAAGACTTCTACATCCCTCAACCAGTCACTTTTTTCGGTATCGAGAACGTAGTTCCATTTTTACGTCGTTCTTTTGATGGACGATGCGCGAACTCGCGTGCTCACTCGACCAGGTCAAATCGTCGAGAATGGATTTTAATTTAATTCTTCTCTATCACTCTCGAAAACCCACCCCTCCAATCCCACCCTCTACCTAATTTTCTCTGAACGTAACTAAATCTCATTCTCTTCCTCATCCTACCTTACTTTCAATCTATGTCTTTTTATCTTTCACTCTATCCATCTATCTAATTATCTATTTATCTATTTATCTATCTACAATGGCGGATTTAAGTGACCGCTTAGGGCCCCGAAAGAGTCTCCAAGTCTTAAAATGTCTTTTCGTTATAGGTTTCACGAATGTTTTTTAAGTTGTTTTTCTTTTTTAAATGAATTTATTTATATAATGTCTTGCGGCATATGAATTTTTAGATTACATTTCCTTGTTTGTTTGTTTGTTAATAATTTAATGGGAGTTTTATTGAAACTTTTGTGTTGTTTCTTTTTTTAACTCGAGTTTATTTTTACCATCAGGGGGCCCCTGACTTGACTTGATTCGCTACTGTCTATCTATCTATCTATCTATCTATCTATCTATCTATCTATCTATTTAACTGTAACTTTCTTCGTCATTCTACAAAGACACGCTTCGACTGTCTATCATATGACCCTGAACAAATACGATTAACGCTGTACCTCTCCTCTTTCTCTCTGTCACGGCCATTATATCTACCTATAGGGACACCTAGGAGGATTTTTCTTTTTCTTTTGTCATTTTTATAATATCATAGGACTCTGTGACGATAAAGAAGAAGAAAAATTGATCAATGTCTTTTACCGTTGTTACAAGACGTATCTTATATTTTGTATGTTTTTTTAATAAACTGATAAAGTTAAGCATTCATAAGGTAAAATCGGTATCAATGATATTCTATTATATTATAGGTATACCACTTTTTCATTTATGCATGATAATGAATTGAATGAATATGGCAATTAGAGTATCGTTGAAATTTAATGACATCGCCTCTTGCGAATTATTGAATAATTAAATTAATTTGAATAATGGCGATACGATCAATTTTAATACATACGTCACCGCGTATGATTTATTAATTTCGAATTTCAAAATGTTAATTCACGTTTGAGATTTCTACTGTCACGTCGTTCTCTGGGTAAGTTTTTTTATTTTTATTTTTAACTTTTTTCTCTTTCTCGATTACGTTTTCAATATTTTCCTTGTCGATGGTTTCTTCTATTAATCATTCATAATTATTTATCTTTTTTATTATTTTACAATTAATTTAAATGAAACTTACCGTCATTTCTGCGCACGAATGGTCTATGAATGTTAACTCGGACTCCTCGCCGGCCAACAGCACGCTTACAGTTTTCTCACCGGACTCGTCATCTGCAAATTCAAAAAAAAAAATATTTATATTATATAGATGTTATAGTCACGCGAGGACGAAAGGACAAGGACATATTGTCGAGTTAAGACCACGTAAACACTCTTGGGATGTATAAAAGATATGGTAAGATATGATTTCGTTTCTGTTCATAAATCACAAATTATATTACCGTTCGTATATATTGAAAATATTTGGAAATTTTTTATAATATAAATAACAATCATTTTTATTTTATTTTTTTTTTCTAATCGTCGATAATATATCATTTTGTTTCAATTCATTTTTTATTATACACTGTATTTATGTATTTTAAAATAAAATAGATACAGTAATATTAATATTATATACGATCATTGAATATCAGTTAATTATCATCATCATTATTCGACACACACATGTTAATAGAAAAACGAACGAGAAGTAAAAAAAGAAATATCACAAAATTTTATAATAATATAAATTAAAATTTAAATAAACAACACACACACAAGAATTATAGAGAGCCCTTGTTGCTTTATCCTAAATACCCCACCTACACACTGCTTGTCATCTAATAAGAAAATTTGTCTCGACAATTTAATATAATTACTCGAGAACTATTTTATCATTTGTTTGACAAATTTGTAAAGAAAATTTTCTAATTGTAAGATTGAAAAAAAAAATAGAAAGAAAATCTTGTAAATATTATTACTCACCGATAGAAGTATCGTAAGCGTGTAAATACTCCGACGTCATAAATTGAGATACGAGGGAACTTTTTCCAACTGCCGGTGCACCCAACATCAAAACTCGATAAGATGCAGGATCCTGGGATGCACTACTCTCGCGTGAACTTGCAAGTGAGCCCGCTGCCGAATTTCGTGCCGAGCCAGGATACGAAGCCGTCAAATGTTCGGTGCTGTATTCGAAGAAGAAGAAAAAAAAAAAAGTAAAACAAAAATGAGGACGACGATAATTTTCATTATTTTTTTTTAAGATAAATAGATAAAAATGTTATCCTTATTTCTTTTTTTTTTTTTTTTTTTCGTTATATTATACATTATTGTCTTTATNAAAAAAAAAAAAGTAAAACAAAAATGAGGACGACGATAATTTTTTTGACGTTCTAATAACATCTAAACGAGATATCTGGACCATTATGTTTTTTTATTATTATTTATTTTTTTTCGTTATATTATACATTATTGTCTTTATAATTCAGAGTTTATGCACACCGCTAAATACTGCGCACAAGTATATATGTATATGCTACATGATATACGTAAATACTATAAATAATATCGTGCGTGTAAAAAGATAATTAAAATAAGTGTGTATTATATCTCTCTCACATTGTAAAGTATTTATCAGTAGATAAAAATATTTCGTCCAGTGGTCATAAAGAAATAAATGAAAAAAAGACGTATGTATATATCTCGTAGATAATAATTTAATATGAATTTAATAATAATAATAATAATAATGAAAATAATAATAATAATAATAATAATAATAATAATAATAATAATAATAATAATAATAATAAGCAGAAGAAGAAGAAGAAGAAGAAAAAGAAAAATAAGAAGAAGAAGAAGAAAAAGAAGAAGAGTAATAGTAATTACTGAAAAATGAGGGACGAGCGTACCTATAAGCAACCGGTTTGGAATCTCGTAAAATCTCCCTGAAACAGAAGGCGCGAGAATCTCTACGTGTTATGCAGAAAAGCAAGAATTGTATGGGATAATTAATTAGTTTTAAGAAAACACAGACAAGGACAGAGAGAGAGAGAGAAAGAGTGAGAGAGAAAGAGAGAAAGAGAGAAAGAGAAAATGGAATAAAAGTAGAAAAAGAAATAAGAAAAATAAGAAAGGAGGAAAGAAGAAAAAAGGAAAAAGAGAAAATAAACATAACAAGATATCAAAAGTGAGAAAAAATCGATTGTAGCGAGAAAACCGTGTAAGTATGCGTATCTATGTGTGTAATGTATATGTTTATTTGTGTTCGTGTGCCCCTTGTGATTTCTTCGAGACTCATTAGTAAATTGAGCGTCGTGTGTGTTTGACACACATGACGTATTGTCGACGGGATTAGTGTTTTCAAAGAAATTTCAAGGGGGAATGATTCAAAGAAATGAAAGTAATGATTGCAACAAAAGTCGATTAAAGTACTGGATAAAGACGTCCATTTTTGTCAATAAAATGGTTTCTATATTGAAAGACGAATTGAATTGATGTTTCTCTCGTTTAAACGAAAAATGCGATATGAATACAAGAACGTGTGTGTACGTGCCACGTGTATATATATGTATATGTGCGTGTATATGTATATATAAAAGGTGTGCGCAATATCTGAATTGCTTTATTTGTTTCATATTAAACGTTGAAGCAAATTGCGCATAATTAATATCGTCGAAGAAGATAAAACAATATTTCCTTCTTCGTGCGAATATTCGTATTAGCGTGCTCCTAGAAAACTAATCCAATTAATCGTATAGAAACTACGCGTATCATGCAATTTGTCGTTCACTTTCTATTACACCTACGCATATACTCTAGTCGCGTAGTGACTCTACTTATAAACATGCATTGTACATCATACGTAAGCAATCTATTCACGCTTCAATTTTCTCTCCTTCTCTCTCACCGTTTCTTTCAACCATTCGTTTTCTCTCTCGACTCGTATTTTACACGAGCAAACATTTGTTTAAGTATGTATTCGTATTCTACATGCGCAGTTATATAATAAACAAATATACATATATACGTACGTATAAATTCCGTGTACAAATTCGTCGATTATTTATCATATATGAGCTTGTTTAAAATTGATATACACATATGTTACGCGTTTAACTTATATACACGAATAATATATATATATTTATAAATACAGTGTCGAATAAAATGATTAGCTCGAATTAAATTTTTCTATAACATACTTTGTTGTAAATCTTTAAAAAGAAAAATAAGAAAACGTACAATTTTCTATTTAATTTTTTTGTTTAGTAAATATATATTTTTCGAGTCTTTTTATCGACGCACAATTAAACAAATTAAACGGGTTTTACTAAAAAAAAACTATTTTCTTATTGAACCTTTATTTAATTCGTGTAACTTAATATATATTTGAATTTTTAACCAGAGAGATATAATTGAGAAAATAATTAAACGATATCATAGTTTTTTTTTCTACAAATTTGTAGAATGCGTTAGAAGAAAATCGATTCTGTTCAAATACTTTTATTTATTGTTAGTACTGTATATATATATATACTATGTACTGATACGTACGTATCAATAGTGTATAAATATATCTGTGTATTTGCTTAACAAACAACAAATTGTACCATTACGTGTAAATGAAATTTTCGATGTACGATTTTTACTCGTGATCTGTGCAATTTGGTTAATCGTTTATTGGTTAAAACATCAGGACAATGACGATATTGATTTTAACAATAAAATCGGTGCTATGTGACAATTCTATAGTTCGAAGTTTACTTTAGAAGCTCTGATTGTGTTTAGATAAAATTATATGCATAACAGGATAAAAATATTTATATACGTCATTAATGACAATTAACAAAATTATATTAAATCTATTAAACTATTGATTATATATGATTAACGTGAATTTCGATTACCTTATTTCGTTGAAACTTCCTATAAAATGTTAAAGTTTTGATAACGAATAGGGATAGTATAGGAATGTTTGTTGATTGTTTAACGACTAGACCGTAAACAGGATCGGATATCGGAAGAAAATCAAATTTCTAAACATCAACTCACTATTGTTTGTGTCTACTTCCAACTCAGGCACTCGAAAATTATATTCAAAGTTTCAAACTAAACTATTCTCTACATTTAATATTTGTTTAGTTAAAACATTTGTGTTTACATTTATATATAATATCACTTTGTTAATTAATAAAAATTATTTGAAGGATGATGATACATTGATTATTTTTACATAGTATGACAAAATGATGCTTTTCCACATCCGAAAATATAGATTTTAATAAAACTTTGCAAATATTGAAAGTACATTCTCGCTTATGCAAAGAACAATTATGTTCCTTTTTTATATCGAAAAAATATAGATACCCCTTTAATCTTTGTTAATCGGTTTTTCGATATAACTAGTCAACCGTAAAGGACAAAAATTCTTTGAATGTGTTGAAATTGCATCATATTTGAAAAACCTATTAAACTGCGAACGAAAAATATTGAAAAAAAAAATGCGTACTTGCTAATAACAAATATGCTATATGCATATATGTATAATGTATATGAAAATAACATGGGCCATGTATATATATTAACGTCGAAGTCGGAAATCAGTCATTGCTAGTAATTCCTCGGCATTGTTATCAATGCTTTTTACAGAGTTTTTCCTAGGCATCGAACATAATACTTTGATATCCTATAGAATATCAAATTATTATTTAAACAACGTTGAAAACATTCTCGGGACAGGCACACACAGCCACACGCAACCCCCAAAACAACCCATACAGGTAAAAAACATTTCTTTCTAAACCTGTGTTTAACTTCCGATACGATAGAGAACAAAAGATACAGATTTCCGTGGAAAAAGAGAGTACTTTAATTTAATTTTAAAGTAATTTAAATCTATTCACTTCTAGTATAAAAAATATTTACCAAAACTTTTCAAAGAATTTGCAAAGTTGTACAATTTACAGCATTGCAATCTTTGATATTTCTTTGAAACAATATTATTCTCAAACATAATTTTAGCCTCGATTAAACCCACGTTGCCGATGAAGGATTTAACAAATAAGAAAATATAATTTATATATATTGTACTTCGTTGAGAAAATACTCAATCGATGCGCAATAAAAAAAGGACGAGAAGTAGTTATTGTCGAAACGATGGGAAGACAATGTTGATGCATGGTGGCCATGCTCTAGGGTCCAACGCGTGTGTCTACGTCACCACAACTCCACACGTAGATTCATGCGTTCGATCTAGAGAAACGAGCCAAAAATAGATAGGCCACCAGTCTAAAGTATCTTGTCCCTTTGATGCATCTCAGCAGCGTCAGCCAGGAACATTCGTAAAATGTGTTCCAACTCGAAGTTCTAAGTCCTCAATTGTGCTCGTTTCATCTTTCATTTCATCGATCTTGAATGGTATATAACTACCTAAGCTCATGATTTTTATCCTGATCGATCGTATATACCTATCAATGTCTATCGTTGGTTCCAGTCGATTGTAACATTCTTTTTCTTTCTTTCTTTCTTTCTTTTTTTCTTTTTATCGTAAGCTTATACAATCTATATGTTATCGTTAAAGCTTTAAATCCGTTAATTCGTGAAACAATTATACTGACCAATGAACAATACGAAAGAAGGTAGCATTACATTCTTCAGTTAGATAATATATGAATTAATAAGAGACGATTAATTAAGATATAAAATTGATATTTGATACGTAGATTAAATCCAATTGAATTATACAATTACCATAATATTGGTTTGGAAAATACAGAAAAATATAAGAAATGTAGACTTTAAAATCTGATCGAATTACGATCTATTAGATTCTCTCGTGAATTCATATAAGTATAACCTCGTTATTTTCTAATACTAATTAGTTTTAAATACATAATAAAATTCTTTTCGTATACTTTTTATTCCCAAATAACGCCTAGCCGTTTCATAAATTAACCGAATTATAAACTTTAATGGTATACAATAGACAATATAAAAAACTTAAGTTTCCCTTAGATATATATATGATAAAAAGTTTGTAGTTATGATCATATTGTAAAGAAAGGAAATGGATAATGAGTTTTCCAGGGAGTATATTCAGTCACACTACTAAACTCGTTGACGTTATACGAGCATGCGATGGAACGTGGAAAAGAAGAAGAAATAACGAGAGAATTTCGTATGGTGAATTTGGAAAGGTTGGAAACGTTTCAAAAAAAAAAAAAAGAAAAAAAAAAAGAAGAATATACAATTGCTCACAATTAGATGCACCAAGGAGTGTATAAAGGTAAAAAAAAAAAAAGAAAAAACTCACCTGGAGTTGCTCGATGCGACGCTATTGTTGGAACGGGATCTTCGACTTTTTAAGGAATCCCCTCTATTCACCACACCTTTCCCGGTAATACTGAAATGCCTCAGCCTGTAATATTCTTCTTCAACTCCTGTGTTCGGCATACTGGCCACCCTCGACCTTTGCTGCGGAAGACACAAGTAATTTGGCCGACCGGACGATCGGCTACCTGGAGTTTTCACCGACTGCGAACGACTGTGATGTGGACTTCCATATCTGTGAGGGTGGATTTAAAAGAGAAAGGTATCGAGACCAATAGGGGGTAGATGAGGTAAACGGTTTTAGATAGGCAATGGGGATGATAGAGAGGAACAAAAAAAAAACAAGGAAATTGGTTTTTAAAACGAAGTACCAAGATTTAAGCTTAATATTTGATTTTATCTGTTTTTTTTTCTTTTATTTTTTTTTACTCCCCCCAATTCCCTTTATTATTATTTTTTTTTTATATTATTTGACACCTAATCTTAACGAGAAGCTTTATTATTATGTCGTTGCAAATTTTTTCAACATTTATTCATAATATAACTTCTTTCTACTCGCAGTACTGCATTTTATATATATATATATATATAATAATCATTTTGGCTTAAAAGGAAAAGAAAATTAAAATTCAATAAAAGATATTTGAAAAAAAAAGAAAAAGAAAATACTACGTTTATTAAACCCGTACAATATGACGATTAAATCTAATCGAATTTGTTTAGTTACATCAAGTAATCGTCAATATTTCATTTTCATTATCGAAACGTTCGTTTAATTAAAGAATACAAAATGTTTAAAAAATAAAAATTGGAAGTAGTAAAGCAACGGAGGGGGTGAACAAAGGGGTAAATGTGTATATTATCAAAGGAAATAATGGAAGGAAAAGAAGAAGAAAAAACATAGAAGAAAGAGAGAGAGAGAGAGAGAGAGAGAGAGAAAAATAAGAGGACGAACCTCATTTCGAAGTCGTGAATCTCCTGTAGGGTGAGGGTGTTCGCAACATCAAGCAATTGTCTCATATTTTCTTCTCTTCTTCTCGCATCCGCGTCCGGATGTAAAAGAATTGTAGCAGCTGGTGCATCCAACGAAAGGGACGGTTGTTGGACTACAATGGTTGCCTGAGTTGGTCTATTTTTTCCACCGGCGCTCCCTCCTTTTATTTCGTTTCGATCGTTTTGCATCGATATTTCAAAAAGATCAGCAAAAGAAAAAAGTTTTTCGTTAGAAATTTGTATCTATATATTTGTATAATAAGTGTGTGTTCATATATATATATATATATATACAGTATAACAAAATATTAGGTTTAGCAATTAATTCACAGTATTTTAATATTAAATTTATTGCATCAAAATTTCGTCAAACAATTCGACAATGTTTTTTTTTAATAATTGATCAAAGTGTCATAGAGAAAATAATGAAAATTATTTCGATGAATAACGCGAATTATTTTATAAATAAATATTAAATGTTGTTTTTATAAAAGTTATCTCGTGAATTCGTTGCTATATCTAATAGTATATATATATATATATATATATATGTATATATATATATTAAATATATTTACTGTATGTACACATATAATATGCGTGTCGCATGTGAAAATAAAAAGCTGTTTTCTCGTCGTAAAAAAGATTCGCCGGTATTATTAGAGATTTTTCTCCCCTTGTTTTCTTCCCTTATAACTTTTCTTTTCTTTTCTTTTCTTTTCTTTACTTTTCTTTACTTTTTTTATTTCTAGTTATCCTTCTCTCTTTTATTCGCATACTACCCGTAAGCAGCTCTTTCAAACGAAAGTTACGAGAATGGTGGACGATAAGAAAGAAAGAAAGAGAAAGAGAGAGATAGAGAGAGAGAGAAAGAAAAAGAGAGAACTATTTGGATTTTCACGAGGTAGAATGAATCGTGGCGGAAGTCATTTTATCTCGCGTTTTTCTCACGTTACCGGAGAATCCTCTTCTGCGAGAGATAGGAAGCAAAGAATCGTGTACTTCTAGCGGAACTGCCAAGCGCGAAATTCGAGAATCCCTTAGTCGTCGAATGGCAGATTCGAATGAATTTGTCCTTATATCGTTCAACATCTAACTCGTATTATTTAATTTTTTCGTGTTTTCTTTTTTTTTTTTTTTTTTTTTTTTAATAAAATTCCAACGAATATATATATACGTATACGTATATGCATATTATATTTAAAATTATCATATATTATTATATGTATATAAAAAAAAAAACGTAAAAAAGAAAATATTATTTAGTATATAATTTGTAAGAGATAGATTCGAAATAATATATTTTGAAAATTATTATGCATTAAAATGAATTGATATCGTTCGAGTATATTACCGATAGGAAATAAAAAAATTCATTTCTAAAATACAACTACGTTTATAAACGTTCTTTTATAGAAAAATAGTTGAAATTTATTTAGAAAAATATTTATATATCCGTATATTTGAAATTAGTTAGAAGGATACTTTGGAATGTATTTGTATTATAGAATATACGCACAAGAATATGGTGTATCTAATGTATTAATAATGTAAAAACCCAACATTCGATACGAAGTACAATTTGAAATCATTTTTTTTTTTCGTGAATTATATATGACATTTCATTTTCCTTATTTCCTAATTCGGCTTTTTTGTATTTTTCTTTTTTGTTTTCGTTTTTCTCTTGTTTCGCGTGACGACAATTCCGCCGTAACGTGTTGCGCATGGTGACATAAAAATTCTTATTAGAGTACATATTTTTGAAATTGTTCTCGAGAATATTTTTCGCGCGACGAAAAAAGAACAAAAATATTTGAATAGGGAATAAAAAAAATAAGTTGGTCAAATCTGTTCCAGTTTGTTTTTTTTTTTTTTTGTGGGAGGGACAAAAAATTGTTATACTTGTGAATCTTTTAACTTGTCCTTTTTGTACGAAACACGATTTTAAATTAGGCCAAATTATACGTAATGCTACATGCTCTTTCAATCATCTAAAATTCAATAATTATAATTTAAAGAATTTTATATAAAACAAAGTACCTTTATATCTATCGTTGAATACTTGGTTACGTTACATTTTATTTATTATTATGATTATTTTTAATATTAAATGTATTGAAATCAAGTTTCCCTTCATAATTCATCATTGCATTTTTACAGATGTTTTTCAAAATTGAATAGTTGAATACAATCGTTTAATAATAATAATAATAAAAAAATAATATTTCGATGTTTTGTTAGGTTATTTGCATAACTTGGTCTAATTGTCAATGAGCAAGTACTTTAATTGTAACAAAAAAAAATAAAACAAGGAAATAAAAAAGAAAAATGATGATAAACGATATATTCTCGAGAAAATTGATTATTGGGAGATCGTTCTCGTGATTTTTTTTCGTCAATCAGATTATTATTTCGAATTCCGAGAACTTTCTCCGCTTAAATAAGATATCGATTGACATTTATTAGCACGTCGTTTAGTACTATCGCTAAAGACGAAGCGTGTCGTGTGTGTTCTTATGTGTGTATTTAGTATGAAGAAGAAGAAGAAGAAGAAGAAGAAGAAGAAACTCTTGCAAGCATATTTTTATTTAATATTTTCTTTTTCTTTTTTTTCAATTTTTTTTTTTTTACGATCAACAGTAGCGTAGCTATAAATATATATAGGTATATATATATATATGTATATGACGACGACGGGCTTCTCGAGACGAAAATTGAATGTTACGTTTCTTTTTCACATAACGTATAAAACTACACAAGCGAAAAGCTATGAAATAAGAAAAAAAAAAAAGAAAAAAAAAATGAGAAAAAAATGATATCATTCAAGTATCTCATATGTCGTATATACGTATACGTAGAATACACATATATGCAATATGCTTCTAAAACACAAAGGGAGCACGAGAATGAACGCATGGAAAATAATAAAATGTACAAACAAATAAAAGAATAAAAAATATAGCTGCTCTCTCGATACTTTAGTCAAGCTAATTCGGAAAATATGTAAAAGACAAAATTCGTCTTAAAAACCATCATTATCATCTAGCTACGTTCCTGATTTGTTTTTCACATTAAAAAGAAAAACACAAAAACACCAAAAGGCAGTGAGCGATAGTGCCGTTTTATTACTTTTTTTTTTTTTTTTTGGTGAAACACACTTTTCGTGATTAATAAATATAAATGGATTACATTCAAGATACGCGCTGCTAACGAAGACAACAACA